CTCTTTGAGGGAAATCCTGGCCCCTTCATATAATAAAAGTTGACTTTGCGTCTGACTTATAATGACGTGGTTTGAAGACTTGCCGGCATTATGCCTTCCGTATTAAGAAGCGTTTTCGGTCGTGATCAAAATAGAAGTGTACCCAGCAATCTTTTTTCAGGTGGGCGTGGGGGGACACCTTACACGTACGATCATGCACACGTCTGCATATATGAACAATTCGTACATACTTCCAGGCGCGGGCAGATGGTTTCAACCCCTCCAACAGCCCCCTTTTGACGACGTGACTTGATCACAGTTTGTTGGACTTTTGCAACACTGCTGTCCAATTTCTGGCTCGTGTTTGAAGTTTCATCTAGATGTTTTAAATATGTCATTAACATTTTGGCAAGAACTCAGCGGGTAACGAAAAGCCATGCATGCTTTAGTACATGAACTACGTCTAAAATCTGTCACGGCCCAAATGAAATTTGAACCTTGGCCGAACTGCGTTGTTCGCAAGGCTAGTAGAGCATAGGTGGAAACTGGCTTGGTCCATACCCGAAATCAGGTCAGGTGCTCTCTGCACTGCCTTGGCCCACTCTTCAAATAAACAGGAGCCACCTCGAAAATACACTTTAGAGAATTCAAGATATTTTTGTCAATTTCACTTGGTTGTGTATCTCTGCGAGTGTGACCTCTATTTTTTTTTCAAATGTGTTATGTAAGCTTTTTACTTTCTTTGTGTGTGAATTATATATGTACACGTGCAAGCTGCTTATTGTAAATGCTTCTGAAACCAATGTATTGATTTTTTTTCTTTTTTAGCTGTGTTCCTGTCGAAGCTTAGTATAATTTGCGGAGGAACAGAGGCCCTAGTCAGGCTGATTGCTTTTAGCCCTTGCCCTTGCAGTGAGCTGTTTAGTTTGCTTACTGTAAATAAAGTACTATTACTATTACCAACGCCAAAAAAAGAATTGTAGAAGATGGCCAGGGTCACCCCAAAGAATCAGAAGGGCCGACCTCGAAAGCTTACTTATTAGGCGACAGCCTATAGCACCACATGACGCGGCTGTCGGATGTTCTTTCGCATAATACAAAGTCACTTGGCGGAATAACACTGGTTATCGCCTCTTTTTTTGCATCACGAGGCTGCGGCGAAAAAAAGCAAGTAGGTCTATAATTATTGTCAAAGAAACGTTCACAGGAAGTGGACACCGTCGTCCGGTAACCCGGTAGTCCACAAATAAGTTTCTGTACTCGTAAGTACTGAACATGCAAATGAAAGAAGGAAAGCGACATGTTAAATCAAACATTTTTCTAACACGACCAGAGTCTGAAAGCTATCTTACTTTTTTCTCTCTCTCTCTCTCTCAGTCGACTGTATTGTCACAGAGTCACGACGCAGACGAAGTGAGCATTTGGCGTCCTCAATGTGAAACTATTAATTTGGCAGTCGGCCGTGAAATGGAAACCCAAATCACAGCGAGTAATGTACGCTGTACACAGACATCGGCGCAGAGAGCGTCAGTCGTCGATAAATTGACAACCGATGAAGCGCGTCCTCATTTATACACGTGCCATCGAATAGTCCTGCGTAATCGCTTCCGGCCACGTAAGGCCTACAAGAAACTGGAATGTTCGCGTTGTGAGCGTAATCTCATCGGAAGCTTCGAAGATTATCGCTAACACTATGTCGGAAACTTGGCTGAGTGACCCCAGTGTCGGGAACCGCCGCCTACACAAATTGGACCCATCGAGAGAGCTTCAAGTTCTATCGAACCTCTCCCGCCAGGATGCAACTTTACTGTGCCGCCTGTGGTTAGGAGTAGCTTTTACGAAGGCGTACTCCTTTCGCATAGGAATGGCGGATAGCTCCCGATGTGAATCGTGCGACACGGACGAGACAATAGAACATCTACTGTGTTCATGTGAACGTTTTGCGAGCGAACGCAACTTGCTACGCGAAACGTTAGAGACACTAGACGGTAGACCTTTTTCCGAAGAGAAGATCCTTGGTTCATGGCTCTACGCGTCGCAGGCCAGCAAAGCGACGCGGGCATTGCAAAGTTTTCTAAAGACGACCGGACTACGCGACCGCTTGTAAGCGTGCAATGGACAAGATGTTGCCCTTCACTTCTCTTTCTCTCTTCTCCTTTAATCCCCTCACCCATTCCTCCAGTGCAGGGTAGAAAACCGGACGTGCGTCTGGTTGAACTACCTGCCTTTCATTTCTTCCCTTCCTCCTCCTCTTCGAAGATTATCTGAATGGCTTTTAGTCAATCGGTGTGCCTAGCGGAAAGCAGCACTGGCACGTGTAATGAGCCGTTTACATAAAACTTGAAAAAGGAGCATGGGAAAGGAGTGCGGTAGTATCAATCCTACCGCGATCCCCTCGAATGCTTTCTACATACAACGTGGTTTCGACAGATTCTTTGATAGGAGGCAATGCAAGCTTTCTGCCCATCATGCTGTTTGAAAGGCATCGGAAATCAACTCATCATTGGCCAAGTGGCTTTGTCATTTGATGACATCATCCCATGACGTCGCATGAAGTCGTCGTCCTCGTTCCGCTAACCAAAATGGCCGCTTTTCACACCTGATGAGATACCTGAAGGTTTAACTAAAATAAAAAAATATAAGAATAAGTGTCGGAGATGAACGTCCTAAACCAGCATATGATTATGGGAAACGCCATAGTGGAGAGCTCCGGAAATTTCAACCACCTGGGGTTCTTGAACGTGCACCCAAATCTAAGCACGCGGGCCTCAAGTATTTTGGCCTCCATCCGGAATGTGGCCGCATCGGCCCGGATCCGATCCCGCGACCTAAGGGTCAGTAAAAAAAGATACAGAAAACTCACGTACATAGACTGCAAAACATCCTTAAGCGCCACTTTTGTCTGTTGAAGAATCTAATCTCGTGCCACAGGGTGAGAAAATAAGGTCAGTCTTTCTTTCCGGCACCACTTTCTGACAGTGTAAAAAGCGCGTTCATGTCTTCAGAATGAGTGGTATCCTTAAAGTGACCATAAAGAAAAACAACGACTTGATTCAGATTCAGAAACTGGAATATGAGAACTCTAATGTCATATCTTTCGCTGTTATAAGGTTTTTATTAGCGGAGAAAATCAAGGCCGAAATTTCATTTTTAAATCTCGCGCCGAAGTCTCTGCACATGACGTACGAAATTTCAAAATAATTTTTTTTGTATTTTAAGGACATTGGCTCAAATAAATTTCCTGAAAGCTCGTATGCTAGGTCTATGTTACCCAATGATGACAATGTATTCGACATGTATCGATTACGAGTTACGTAGGACCCAGCAGACGCCTCCAAAATTTATCGAATCCTGGTGTTCGGTGCGGGAATCTCAAAATAGCGTCACCACCCGCATTTTTTTTTTGTCGCGCATTTCTCACTCTGAAGATAATCTTGGGAGTGCGGACTTCACGTACTTTTGCCCAGAAAGCCACAAGAGCCCTTCTATGATTCCTGAGGGCAACTTCACTGTGTGACCGCCCGTGAAACCTGAACTGTGTGTGTGGTCTGTGTGTTATGCGCAACGTGTATCTCCACCTTCTCTTTGTCTCTTTTTTCTCCCGCATTCTCCTCTCCCTGGAGTAGGATAGGAAACTGGACTCAACATAGTAAATCTCGCTACCTTTCCGATACTTTTTCTTCTTGCTCTCTTCTCGCTTGTAAAGCCTATGTGGCGATAAGAGGGGCATTTCCGGGATCATGACTTTGTACTTTCCTAATACGCGAAAAATTTATCTGCTCTTTAGTGTTACTTTAAAGGTGATTTCTTGTTTAACAGAAATATATTCGAATACGCCTCTCTTCCCCCCCCCCCCCCACAAAAAAAGAAAAAAGCAGCCTTCCTCTGACACTAAACTCAAACACAGACTAAGCAGAAAAGAAGGATGATGACCGGAGGGCAACAAGACGTTTTTAGCCCCGAGTATTCGCAGGACACCGATTTCTCGAAAGCAATTTTGGAGTGTATGAAAGAAATGAATTCATACTGCCTGTTTCTCCTCAAACTGCCTGAATTCGAGCGCTCCCTTTTTAAGCATCGCCGCATTCGAGGTTGAAAAGGGATTTGCCGTTGTTCTATGAGGCTCGCATAAAATAAAGGTAGTTTTAACATCGCAACAAAGAAAGTGCTGCATATAAAGTAAACTCGGCGCAGATCGTTCTTGTGGTGCAACAACAATTGATGCAACAGCAATTTGTTCAAAAGGAATTCATGCGCATATACAGAACCCGTTTCGTCGACTTCGGCCCACGTTCGAAGAATTTCGACTCCATACAACGGGTGCCTTGCCGAATGTGACACGATGTCGTTTTAGCCAATTATTTTGCCTTCTGAACCGGCATGGAATATAGCATAAATGTCGGCAGAACTTTGTTGTTGTTGCTGTTTAGGGGAAGGAAGGGGAGGAGTACAAAACCATGTTGCATCGCGGCTAGGGGATGGAAAAAGCGTTGATGTAGTTTAGGTGGGGCCAAGTTCTGGTATTGCTTGAGTGGGGCAAGTGCCCCTTTCGCACCTACCAACCGACGCTTGTGAAAGATAGTGCGGCTTGCAACCACTGCGGCAGTGCGAAAAAACTGTATTCTTCCTAGCTGTCCTTGCTACAGCGCACACAGACTGCCACCACTAGCGGCTGCGTTTGCTCGTTCCGACAACAAGCCCTTGTCGGAAGTGTCGGTTCTAGAATACCAAACAGGACTGTCGTCGCAATGGAATTCTATTACGGCCGTAATGTTTTCCCTGATGTTGAGCCATTGGAGAGGATATTACACTTCCGATCCACAACGTGCTTTTTTGTTTGCTCGTTTTCGCATGCCTCCGCTCTTAGCATATTTATTTCCCTTTTTCATCCCCCAGAGTAGGGTAGTCAACCACACACGTGCCTGGTTAATCCCTCTACTTCGTTTCTTCAATTTTCTTGCTTACTATTCGTAATGATTGATTCTAGATGTGAAATTCAGTTAGCAGATGAAGCAACTCACCTGCGACGAACAGCTCGACGGCCGCCTCAGTTTTGGTGACACCGTCGTCGGTAACGTTCCCACCACGGTACGACACGTTGCACACGTATCTTCCAGTGTCAGCCAGATTCAGACGATTGACTAGCAAAGCTGGCGGATCGCTGAGCAGAGAAAAGAACGCCCTGCCCAACCAAGGTGGCTGCTTCCAATGAACACCGTCCACCAGTCCAACGCTAGCTCCAAGCACAGGGACCAACGGGGGTTCTGGAGCCACTAACGAGTAAACTTTCTTCGGTACCACGTCACCGTCCACACTTTGGGGCAGGTAGGTGGACAAGTTGAACTTGACGTCTGCCACGCGAAACCAGACGACAGACAACGGTTCCATCGACGCCTTGTCGATGGGGCAAGGAAGTGACGTCTGCTCATCTTCCTGCAGGCTTAGTCTCAATGGCGAAGGATCCAGTCCTGCGTGGAAAACAAGTGAAATCGTCCCATGCTGGATTTACTTGATGAAGCTGCAAAGGGCAGATGTGCCTGTGTGTTGCGAAATATTCAAACGACCGAAGTGACGATCGGCTTGCTCTTATCACACACTTGCCGCTAGCGTCATAGGCTATGACGCAATCAAACCTGCAGCACTTGTGCTGACGCCGCTGACAGTTGATAAATGAGTTCAGCGATATGCTCGTGGGTGTGTCTGTAAAATAATCTATTTTCCGAGCTGAAGTTAAAGGTAACTCTTGGGTTTTTACGTTCTAAAATCGCTATATGAATATGGGAGACACTGTATAGGAGGGTTTCAAATATTTCGACCACGGAAGTCTCTTAACGTGTACCGTAATCCAAGCAGACGGGCCTCCTTTAACGTTTAGCCATTACCGCCGCGGCCGGTATTCCATTCCGTGGCCTTCGGACTGTATAGGCTAACACCATAGCCACTAGATCAAGGCGGTGCGTGCAGCCTACAAGTAAATGTTAGCACTATTCGCAACTACAATGAAGACACCTGAGGAAGGAGAAACAGGAGGGAAAGGAAAGGCATGTATGTTAACCAGTCTAGAACGACTGGTATGCTAGATGTAGGAGTTCTTCATTGCACGGACTTGTATGAGTGCCGGCTAAGGCTTACATTGAGAAGCAAATAACTGAATAATGCCACTTTCGAACACTGTGAAAAGAGGTTGGTCAAGCAGTCGTTTGGTTATGCTTGCTTTGGGAAAGGCTGGCGCCCCTGGTTTGCAGGTATTACTCTGCACATTGTGATTTTACAATTTCACTGCTCTGTTGTACTAAGACTAGTGGATTCGATCTTGAGCTGTTCCCTGGCCACATTTCTGTAGGGGAAAATGAGAAAAGTTTTGTTGCAGATGTCCGAAAACCGCCAGCTGTGAAACCAGAAATATTGCACAGCTATAGCCAGTATGCGGCGTCAATAAAAACCTGATGTTCATTTATCCGCAGTAAAAGCCCAGAACTTGTTTTTAACAAGTTGACGACTTCTTCGCAAGCCGAAATTCTCCCCAACTTGTGCTCTACCGACGTGAAATGCTCAGCATCAGGGACACGGCACGCAAGTGACGTGGCCTGAATTATTTATAGACCCACCTTATCAGCCGAGGCAAGCACGTGCCTAATGATTTGCTAATTACAGGGTTAATTAATAGCATCTCGTCACTGCAAAATATTTTAGGTGCATAGAGTGTCCCATTAATATGCGCACGTGATTGTAAGATGAAACATTCTAGCTGGGTACGTTCCCAATATAACGCCATAAATTAATGATCCCGTGGTTCGAAGAGTTTCTTTTTATTATTATTTCTAGCCGCGGAAGGCCATGTTTATGGTACATTGCGATATTTAATGCAGCAGCCGTGAATTGCTGCGTGTGCGAGTCATGTGAGGTTGTTATACCCGGTGTGTATCTGGATTGAACGCTTGACGCACTCAAAGGATCGACGCAGCTCTAATCCCGTAAGTGGTTTTCCCCCCGCTGTAATGGATACAAGACAGGCACCGATTTCGCTGAGTGAAAGAAGCCGGAAAGTGAAGTCTTTTGTGTGTGCGTGTGTGCGTGTGTGTGTGTGTGTGTGGTTTGGCTTCGCATGCTTTGCTATAACGGGTTTTGAGCACAAACGCTATTTCCGTAGTATAAAATGCGCATCACGTAGAAAAAAGGGTTGTTCACTCTGCGGTTGTTGATCTTGACATAAAAAGAGCGCGGAAGTCCCTTGCCTAACGGCGAAAGTACAAGTTCAGCAGTCATTTTCGACTACGAACTGCGAACGATGAATGTAAATGCAGTATGCGACGAGCAAGAAACATGTGTGTGCTGCTGCTGATATTGGATATTATAAACACTCTGGGAACATTTCGTGTCTTTGAAAATACACACCTGTTTCGAAATGTCATGAAAAGACTGAAAAATAAGGATAGTGGTTCTATATGTTTCAGCTTACTGAAACAAATTTAAAACCTGAAAAACGTTCTCTACACAAGATAGAGAAAAAAAAGTACTGAGATTTAATAACTTACACATCCCGTTTCTTCACATTCATATTACTAATATGATGTCTGGGCTTAATATCACTGTGAGAGACAACGTAGTGGAAGGCTTCGGGAATTTCGGCAACCAGGAGTTTTTTAACATGCACTTTGATTGATATGTGGCGTTTAACGTCCCAAAATCACCATATGATTATGAGAGACGCCATAGCGGAGGGCTCTGGAAATTTCGACGACCTGGGGTTCTTTGACGTGCACCCAATCTGAGCACACGGGCCTACATAATTTCCGCCTCCATCAGAAATGCAGCCGTCGCAGCCAGGATTCGATCCCGCGACCTGCGGGTCAGCAGCCGAGTACCTTAGGCACTAGACCACCGCGGCGCGGCTTAACATGCACTAACATGCATTTAAGCACACTGGCCTCTAAATCTTTACCTACGTTGAAATCTGGCCGCCGCGGCAGGTATTTCATCCCACGATGTGCAGGTCAGCATTGAAGCGCCGTAATCACTAGGCTACTGCTGCTGATACGCATGCGTGTAATGTTAAAAATACAAGTTGTGTGCGCTATTCTAGGTAGTCAAGTGTTTATTGCCGAAACAGCCACCGTGAATGATGCGTATGTCGTAAAATTTTTTAAATGTGCGACCACGGTTATACTACATCTTTTGATTGATTGATTGATTGATATGTGGGGTTTAACGTCCCAAAACCACTATATGATTATGAGAGACACCGTAGTGGAGGGCTCCGGAAATTTAGACCACCTGGGGTTCTTTAACGTGCACCCAAATCTGAGCACATTGGCCTACAACATTTCTGCCTCCATCGGAAATGCAGCCGCCACATATTACATCTTTTTGCCCTAGTAGAAGACAAGCCAAGAAAATAATTATTTTGGTCACCTCCGTGCAGTCACTCGGAAGTGACGAATAAAAAATGACACTATAGCATAGAGTTTCAATACATTGTGGTCTACTTTATTCGCTTCTTTCATTCCAGCAGTCCGACAGTCCTTCTACAATAGAAAGGTACACTCAGTGGCTCCGATCACTGGACCACTTCGTCGAGCAGTCTTCGCACGTCAACGAACGACCCGTTCCTCAATTCGAAGACTGTGCGAACCCTTCGTTTGCAAATACGGTGCAACGGTGCCAAGATACGAGGCGTAGATTGCATGCGCCCTTTATTCGTCTTTTTACATCGGTCTGGCTGCTGTGAGCACGAACCTGACAACATACCAAGAGAAGACAGGAAGCGAAACAAGCAGCTGCAAGCTTCGAAGCCCCCGCTTGAAGAAGAGCAAACTTCGAGGAACTCTGAAGAAGATCGAACTGCACGGGTCATCTGCTGGTGACGCAGAAATAAAAACAAATGAAGTGTGCTTCACAAGGTCTCGTTTGACAGGTGGTATGTAAATGCGTGCTAACAACCATGTACTTATGTGTACTACGCTGTCGTAATAAAAAATAATTAGGCATTGACTAAAAAAGCTTAAAAAAGCATCAAGAAAAAATCCAAAGTTTAAGTACGTTTTCTGAAAAACACCGTGTTTCCAAGAAGTTATATCGTTCGGAGCTTACGTGCCTTAAAGGCAAACGAACTTTTGCGGCACTAGGCTTACAGCGTTCGGCTTACCAGTACAAAAACAAACAGAAGAGGCAAGGCTGTTGACTTTAGGGACAGATAGAAAAGAACAGATGCTTCTATAGCTTTAGAGCTTCTTTTTCAACTCAAGAACGCTTGCAAAGCGTTCTTTACGCTGCTGTAATACTACCGTTCAAACGACACAGCCTCTAAAAAAAAAGGGGGGGGGGGGTAGTTTTGGAACATGATTTTGTTATTTTGTTGCTGGCTGCTGGAAAGAAAGAAAGATTGTGCCACGACCACATGTTCAGTGTTAATAAAGTTAGGCAATGTTCTATATTATTTAGACAATAACGTTTAACAGCGTCACTGGCTATGGCAAGGCTACGTTTTTTTTTCCTATGTGAGATGTTAACTAATATAAACTACTCTCTACGTTGTATATTGCGTTATTCTTGTATAATTCCCTGTGGCATATTTTGTCCACGTGCGCTTGCGCTGGAGCACAAAACACATCGTATAAACTTGCATTTGAGGTTTAACATCAACAAATCCACCATAGTTATAATTGTTTAGGTTTTTGATACCTTTATTATATTTAATTACCAGGACAAAGTCAAACCATCCTCGATGCCCCATTCTTGTGGGCTGATGTGAAGTTAGATTACAGCCACGAACATTGAGGGAACGCAGCGGAAAACGGCACTTACTTTAAAGACTGAGAGAGCACAAAAGTTTGCTTCGCGAAAAATAACGAAGATTATTATTCACACCACGGCGCGCGACATTGCTGAACTATTCGTCTATTCTGCGCGGAATAATCGGTATTCCACAAAAGAACACTTCGCGTGCAGCTGCCTTGGAACGACGCACCGAGGGGAAAGTAGTCAAGTTTGACGAAGTTGTAGAAGTAAAGCTAATATTGGCTTACTTGGAGGTCAGAAAGTTCAATTAGTCGCTAGAAATCGGTCATGAAAGGTGGCTTGGCGAGCCTACATAGGCACAAAAAAAAATTATGAGACATGAGCAAGTAGAAGCTTGGCGTGTGCGTCAGGGGTATAATGCCTTTCTTTCTTTCTTTCTTTCTTTCTTTCTTTCTTTCTTTCTTTCTTTCTTTCTTTCTTTCTTTCTTTCTTTCTTTCTTTTTTTCTTTCCTTTTTTCTTTCGTTCTTTTTTTCCTTCTTTCTTTCTTTCTTTCCTTGTTTCTTTCTTTCTTCTTTCTTTCTTTCGTTCTTTTTTTCCTTCTTTCTTTCTTTCTTTCTTTTTCTCTTTCTTTCTTTCTTTCTTTCTTTGTTCTTTCTTTCTTTCTTTCTTTCTTTTTTCTTTCTTCTTCTTTCTTTTTTCTTTCCCTCTTTCTTTCTTTCTTTTCTTTTC